CCCATATTCAAGGGTGTACCTCAAGTACTTAAGTACCCTTCTCAAAGCATTCCAGTGTTCATGACTGGGATTGCTCGTAAATCTGCTCAATTTATTCACCGGATAGGCCAAGTCTGGTCGTGTACAATTCGTCAAGTACATCAGACTCCCTATTATCCATGAATATTCCAACTGAGCCACTGGTTGACCTTTATTGGCTACCAGATTTATACTGAGATCAAGGGGTGTCTTACACCTAGACTGTGCACCGTCATAGGTATCAAATTTCTTGAGCACTTTGTGACAAGACAATTCCATCTTGGGTTCTGATAATACTTATTCCAAGAATAACATCAGCCAAGCCCATATCTTTCATGTCGAAATTTCTCTTCAACATTCTTTTCGTATCCATGATCACTTCATGGCTACTCCCCATGATCAACATATCGTCTACATATAGACATACAATCACAAATGTATTCGATGTACTCTTGACATAAACACATTTATCACATTCGTTGATTTTGAAATCATTTGTCAACATCACGTCATCAAATTTTAAATGCCATTGTTTCGGATCTTGTTTCAGTCCGTACAAGGATTTGATCAATCTACACACCTTTCTCTCTTGTCCAGGTGCAACAAACCCTTCAGGTTGTTCCATGTATATTTCTTCTTCCAATTCACCATTCAAAAATGCCGTCTTGACATCCATTTGGTGAATCTCAAGATTGTGCAAAGCAGCAATCGAGAGAAGCACTCATATCGACGCTAAACGTGTAACAGGTGAATAGGTATCAAAAAAATCATACCCTTCCTTTTGTTTAAAGCCTTTGACCACCAAACGTGCTTTAAACTTATCAATCGATCCATCATCTTTATATTTCTTTTTTTAGGATCCACTTGCATCCTAAAGGTTTACAATCATCAAGGAGATCAACCAACTCCCAAGTATGATTTTTGCATAATGGACTCAATTTCGCTATTTACAGCTTCTTCCCAGAGTGGTCCATCTGGGCTGGACAAAGCTTCCTTAAGGGAACTCGGTTCATTGTCCAACATGTACGTAATAAAATCAGGTCCAAACGTTTTAGCCGTTTTTACCCTTTTACTACGTCTCAGTTCTTCATTAGTACCCTCTGGTACAGAACCACTGGCAGTTTCATACGTTCTTTTATTAGAACTAGATTCTGTCCTTTCCTTCATAGGAAAAACATTCTTAAAGAATATAGCATTCCTTGACTCAATCGTGGTACCAACAGATACCTCTGGATTTTCTGATTTATGCACCAGAAATCTATATGTTGTACTATTGTACGCATATCCAATAAATACACAATCGACCGTCTTTGGCCCGATTCTCATTTGTTTTGGTTCAGGTACCGAAACCTTAGCCAAACACCCCCACACTTTCAGGTATTTATAAGACGGCTTACGATTTTTCCACATTTTGTAAGGAGTTTCATCTTTCCCTTTAGGTGGTATTTTATTCAGGATATGATTTGCTGTCAAAACAGCTTCCCCCCACATGTTCTGTGGTAATCCTGAATTAATCAACATGGCATTCATCATTTCTTTTAACGTAAGGTTCTTGCGTTCAGCAACACTGTTCGACTGTGGAGAATAAGGGGCCGTCGTTTGATGAATTATGCCATATTCAGAACATATTTGTTCAAAAGGAGACACATACTCCCCACTCCTATCACTTCGGATTATTTTAATCCTTTTGCCAAGTTGATTTTCAACTTCGGTCTTATATATCTTAAATGCTTCCACAGCCTCATCTTTGCTTCTTAACAAATATAAGTAGCAAAACCTTGTGCAATCATCGATAAAAGGTTACAAAATACTTTTTACCGGTTCTTGTTTGCACACTTTTCATATCACATACATCAATATGGATCAAGCCTAATGGTTCAGTACTCCTTTCCACCGAGTGGAAAGGTAACTTAGCCATTTTTGCTTCAATGCAAATTTAACATTTTGTATATGTCTCAACTTTAGAATTAGGAATTAATTCTAATTTCATCAACCGTTTAATTGCATTTAGATTTACATGTCTCAATCTAATATGCCATAAATCAGAGCACTCAACAGTGTAAACAGAAATAGGCTTTTTATTATCAATGGTTACACGGCTTACAACCATTACATTCATTTTGAACAATCCCTTGTCGATATAACCACGACCAAGGAATTTTCTATATTTGCTAAGAATAAACTTCTTAACTTCAAACACCAGCCTAAATCCATGCTCAACAAGAAGTGATCCCGAGACCAAATTCTTGCGGATGTCTGGGACATGCAGAACATCCTTCAGCTTCAACTCCCTTCCAGAAGTAAGCTTCAGCACCACCGTGCCCACTCCAGCCACATCAGATGTGGAGGAGTTTCCCATGTGTAGTTTCCGACCCGTAGTAGGAGTGTATTCAGAGAACACCTCCTTGTCGGAACACACATGACGAGTGGCACCAGTATCGATGTACCACTCCCTCGGGTTATCCACCAAATTGGCTTCAAACATCACCGCCGACATATCAAAGTCGGTCAGTTCACCCGGCACAGGGCCGTGTTCAGCAACAAGGGCACTCGGTTGCCTTTTATTTGGCCCAACTTTCTTTGGCCTCTTGCAGTCTTTCGCCATATGGTTTGGCTTTCCACAGTTGTAACAAGATCCAGTGAATTTCCAAACCTTGGCGGGCTGCTTCCCTTTGTTAAGGGGCTTCCTTTTGCTCGAATTTCCTTGCTCCAACAAGTTCGCACGAGCCTCCATTATCGGGCTTTTGCCCGACGAATTACGGTTGTCCTCCTCAATACGAAGACAAAAAACCAGGTATTCAAGACTCATCTCCTTTCTCTTGTGTTTGAGATAGTTCTTGAAGTCCTTCCAGCCTGGCAGCAGCTTCTCGATCACAACCGCTACTTGGAATGACTCACTCAAAGTCATCCCTTCAGAATGGATATCGTGCAAGATCAGTTGGAACTCTTGCACTTGTGACACAACGGTCTTCGTGTCAACCATCTTGAAGTCAAGAAATTTGCCGACGACGAATTTCTTCGCCCCGGCATCCTCCGCCTTGTACTTCTTCTCCAGGGCATCCCAAAGCTCCTTGGCAGAACCAACAGAGCTGTACACGTTGTACAACTCGTTACTAAGCCTGTTCAGGACATAGTTATGGCAAAGGTAGTCACCTTGCCCCCAAGCATCGTACGCAGCGCGTAGTTCTGCATTGGTCTCATTCTCAGAAATGACCGGAGGGTCGTCCTTCAGGTATTTCACCAAACCCAAAGTGGTCTGGTAAAAATGCATCTTTTGTTGCCACCTCTTAAAGTCAAGCCCGTTGAATTTTTCGGGCTTTTCAGCTGTAGGAACATGGACAGCAGGTACATGATTGATCGGATGCTGAGAGCTGGAACGTGCTCTGGTGG